TGTCCCCGGCCCAACCTGCCGTGGGCAGCAGGGATCCTGGAGCTCTCCGTGCCCGTGTCTCRGACACAGCGCCTGCCCTGGTCTTGGCACCGCTGGCTCCTGCAGGCACTGCCGCGCTGACCTACATCCAGCGGCTGCATCCGTGCCGTAATTCCCGGTGACACTCGGGTCGGCTCTTGCCGCTGGCAACACACGCGTCCCCCAGCCCCTGTTGCCTTTGCCACCCTTTTTCCCTCCCCCTCCATTCCTTCCTTCCGCAGCATCTTCCAGGCCTGAGGCCAAGGCTGATCCTGGAGCTTGGGCCACCGCTCCATCCGCGAGAACGGGTGAGATCCCAAACCCCACCTCGCTTCCAAGAGCCTCCTATTCACCACCAAAACATAAAGACACTCCTTGCACATAGTGTTTTTTTTTTCTTTTTGTAATTCTTAAATACACATAGTTTACACTCGGCAAAGGTTCAAAGCAACAACATCAAAGTGCGGCTACAGGTGACGGTACCAACCAAAGTGCTCAAACGAGGGGCTCCCGCGGGCGCGGAGAAGGGGCCTTGGGTTCTCCGGACACCGGCACCTCGCTGCCCGAGGCTAAAATAGACCTAGATTTGTAGAGAAGTTAAAAAAATAACTTAGAGGACCAACTTTCTGCCTTCCCAGGGACCGCCGCGAGGAAGAAGTGCTTGGGGGAAATGATTGCCATTTTGGGGCACATAAATGTATATTTATATATATATATTTATCTCTTGGTCTGCGTGATTATCTCAAAGCAAGTTTGGCTCCGTGGCCGGGGGCTGCCTTGATAAAAGCCGTCCGGCCCTCCCAGCCCATTGCACCCGCTTGGTCCCTTGGTTTGGCCAGGAAAAAAACCCTATTTTACCGCTTTGGGGCATTTTTTATTTTTCCTTCCCCTCTTTGCTTACAGGGAAGGAGTGAGGAGGGATGGGGAATATCCCTGTGCCACAGGGGAGGCTCCTCCAGAGCTTCTCCCAGGAGGTGGGAAGGGGCTGGTTCCTGTCCCTAACCAGCGTTATTTGGCACCAGTTCCCAAGGGGTTTCGCTCTAGCGGAACCTATGGGTTTTCAGCCCAAAATAACCRGCTCACGAAGGGCGCTCGTGTCCGGTCAGGCTTGTCCCGGGGCCCCTCTCATAGYGCTGCAGAGACGCTCCCACTTTCCTCGCCTCGGAGCTGGGACGTTGCCTTTGGGAACCTCCAGCCTGGCCTGGTGGAGGAAAGGTAGGGGTGAAGGAAAAAATCTCGTTTTTGTGTTTAGAGAAAAAGAAATGTGCTGAGAACAGCTGCTATTGGCATTTTCGGTATTTTCGGTATTTTTCTATTTGTGGATTTTTTTTTGTTTTAACCTCTTTGGGAGCCTTTAGAGGAGCAGAGCAAAGTGGCCTTGGGTGGCAGCTGGGGCTGTGACACAGCAAGAATTGCCTTTTTTTTTCCTTTTTTTTTTTTTTTTTCTTCTCCATTTTCCTTCTTTGAAACTGTCCAAGTCCAGGGTGGGTTTGTCTGTCTTGGGGATGTTCCATCCCTATCCCGCTCTGTTTGGTGCTTCCCAGAGGGAGATGGCCCCGGCTACCTCTGCTCCCAGCCACGTTAGGGAAAAAATGGACAAAAGATGGGAAATCCAGGTGCCTTTCAGCCCCTCTCCAATGCCCAACATCCAGGGCATCATCCCAACGTCCTGGGTCCTCGGAGCTCTTGAGCGACACATTGAGAAAAAAATCTCATCTTGAGAGAGCAGCTGGTGGAGCCCGTCCTTGTGCCACCAGCCATCGCTGGGCTTACTGGTGCTGTTCCTCCTGGAATCCCCGACCGGTACCGATGGTCAAGAAATTGGGGACATCCTGCTAAGATTGGCCATGAGAAGCTTTGGGCAACTTSAGGAGCGAAATGGAACCACCAAAACCCCGTCCCAGAAGCCTCACGTGGAAGTGGGTCCCAGCAGAGCAGGAGCTGCAGTGGGCCCATGGTGGACACCCACCCCTCTTTGTGCTGGTATCGCAATGTGGATTGTCATGGCTGATCCCTGGTGTGGCTTCTCTGGTGTCTAGTACGAGGTTGAGCTTCACCACAGCAGGTCCTTCCCTATGAGCACCCTCTTCTTGGTTTCCTATTGCTTCGGGAAGACTCAAGATCGCTCTGCCTCGTCCTTYACCATCCAAGTTGGCTAAAGCCACCCAGTGAATTTATAAGTTCTTGGGGAAGGAGACCAGATGCAGAACATGAGCGTTTTGTCCTCGTTTGCAGAGGGGATCGGGCTGAAATCCCAGGCCCAAGGAGTGAATCCTATGGATACAGGGGAGCACAGGATGAGCCCCCAGAGCTGAGTAGAAGGGAGGTTTCCACCGGCCATCCAGTGGGATGGGGATGGATTAGGACACCATGTGGACGCTCACCCCAGCCGCAGCTCTCCCAGGGAGCCGTCGGGGAGCGGATCGATAGGACATTCCAGCTGGAGAAACCCAGCGCCCTTAATGAGCTCCTTGCCATTAACAACGGGGCCGATTTGGAGGCGCCGGGCGGGAGGGAATGGGGGGGACRCGGGGCCCTGGGTGCCGCTCGCGCCGAGCCCGGAGCACCGTGTCGGAGCGGCACGCGCTGCCCGGCTCCTGCTTCCACACCGGCACCTTCATCCCGCTGAGGAGGAGGAGGAGGAAGGGAGCAGCCCAGGCTGGCGGTGCTGCAGCAATCACTGGGGAGGGATATCCCAGGTCCTGAGCTGCGTGAACCCCCTATTCTCCCACATCAGCAGAAAAATAACCCAGATGGGGAAAAAAAACCCTATTTTTTCTGCTTATTTAGGCAGCTTGCCTGTGCTTGGGACGTGCTTTTATGCAGCTGATCCCAGCTCGGCATCTCCGGGATGCAGCAGCATCCCGCAGCAGTGCACGACTCACATGGARCAAAATGGGTGGCAATAAACCCCACTGGGAAACCCACTCAGGGTCTCACTCCACTGTGCTGGATATATTTTTTTCTAAATCCAGATTAAATTTGCATTGTTCTAAGGCGGGGGTTGGAGCCTCGGGTTGGAGCCTCATGTTGGAGCCAAAGGCCGGTGTGCGGGAGGCCGGTGGCTCGGCCGGGTCTCAGAGCGGGTGCAGGATGCGCCCCAGGACCCAGTGCGGGTGACACTGACCCCGCAGAGTCGGCGGCGAGGGGACGGCGAGGGCAGGCGTCACACAGGGACTATCACACACCTACGGCTCCACCGCAATCACGAGCAGAAACGTCCACGGACGACACGAACGGCCACTCGCCAGCCAACAACCACCGCTCCTCCAAGAGTCCTCAAAAACCCTTTTTTTCCCCCAATTTCCACCAGCTCGTCCTCATCTTTCCCACAGCTCCGAGAAGAGCTGGGCACCGCAGGAGGGATAAGGACGTCCTCAAACCAGCAGCAAACCTGGAGCAGACGCCTCCAGGCTTGGACCTTCCAGTCTCAAAGTGAGAGTCTTTAAGCATAGTCTATGAACATGCTGAGTATATTATAATTTTCTTTGCTTTAAAACCTTTTCTTCTTCTTCATTTTTTTTTGTCTTTACAGAAATAAATACTTACTTTGTTTCTTTGAAGGTAATTTCTCAAGTCTCTGTGCCAGGGCGGAAGCTGCAGCCCTCACGGCCACTCTCATGGGGAGGTGGCAGACGTGGTGGGTTCCTCCCAGGGACTGCTCGTTGCTCTGCTCTTTTGCCGTGCTATTTTTTTTTTTTTTCCTCCATTTTTGCTTTTCCCCCATGGATTTGTGCCCATTCCACCTTCCTTCCCATCCCCAGGATGGAGGGGAGAGTGGGTGCCTGGTGGCATGATGGATGGAGTCTCCATGCGTGGAGGTGACGTCCCTCCTCACTCAGCCCTTGTGGGACATCAGGATTTTTTCGAGGCAACTTTTGGGGCTGATTTTTTTTTGGGAAGCAGCTTTTTCCTGTGGTCAGGGGAAAACAGAGGTGCTTTGAGTTGGGTGCTGTGGCGAAGACACCGCACGCAACCCTACCCTGCTTCAGAGGAGGCAGCTTGGACGGGACAAGGGGGTGGATGAAAAGCTCTTCTGAGACACTTGCTGTACTTGGAGCCCTGGGAGGTCTTCCAGCCCACCCAGCAGCCTGGGGGCTCTCTGGGATCCAGGAATCAGGTGTTTTCTCTATGGGGTCGTCATCAGGATGGGGATGCTGGAGGACGGGATATCTTGGGTTCGGTGCTGGAGGCCTTTGGGTTGGTTCCTGTGGTGTTCTRTGTTGGGGAGGCCTGGGCTGAGCTCTGCAGATCTCATGATATAGATGAGGAAGGTGTTGGCTCTGCTCTCCAGCCTAGGGGATGTCCCATGACTCAGTTGGAAGGATGAGGAGATATCCCAGGAAAAGCTGATCCCTCAGAGCCGCATGGCAGCTCCTGTTGGCCAACAGGCACCAAAATCAGCGAGCCCCGAGCAGAGGACCAAGTGCCCCCAGAGCTGCTTCTCCTGCTTGGCTCTTCTCACCTTGGCCTTGTGGGTCCAAGCTTGTGTGGTTGGGTCTGGGGCTGGTTCCTCCCCAACGGCACTGCGTTTTGGGGGCTGTGTTTAAGGCYGGGGTGTCTCTGCTGCTGGCAGTGCTCTGATGGGGTCCCCCATGGCCTGGAGACCCCCGGCATCTTCTTCATGGGGTAGAGGATGGAAACAGCTGAACCTGATGGATGCCTGTCGAGAGCCTGTTTCTTTGGAAAAAGAAAAGAGTGTGGGGGGTGACTTCCCTCCAAGAATAAGGTAGTCAAAGGGAAAAAGAGGAATAATAATAATTAAAAAAAAATGCTGTTCAGTGTGGTGGGTTGGTGGAGGAAAAAAAAAAAAAGAAAAAAAGAAAAAAAAAAAAAAAGCAGCTTTAGCTTTTGGAACCATTTGGCCAGGGTTTCTGCCCCGAGCTGCTCGGGGTGGGCTAGGCGATGGCTGGACTTCCCTCTCAGCTGCTTCCTTCTGCCCACGCAGGTCCCTCTTGGCGTGAGGTGATCCGGTCTGGAAGGGGGTTGAGCTGAAGGTCCGTGAAGGCAGAAGCGTTACCCGTGTTTCCCGGTGTTTTCTTCAGAGAGGGTTTATTGCCTTAGTGGGAAGGGACGGATGGAGAGGAGGTGAGGCTGGAGACCCTCGGAAGAGCGACTGTCTCTGGTCTGTGGTCTGGTGGTGCTGTCACGGCTGCTGGTTTCTGGGCAGTATGGGCCYGTGTTTGTGTGTCCCCCTTCCTAAAGAAACAGGTAAATAAAAAGACAGCTACCAGAGAGTCTGCAGGAGCGTCGGAGCCCATCTTCTCTTCGGGGATGGCCTCTTCCCATGCTGCTTCCCATGGTCTCTTCCCATGGGGATGGTCTCTTCCCATGCTGCGTGCGCCATGCCATGGAAAATATGGGGCTGCTCCAGCCACGGAGCTCAACCCGTAGCAGGAGCTCCATGGGACACCAGTGCTGAGCCCAGCGGGTCATCGGCCAAGAGCCACCAGCTCACGGCCTCCAAAGAGGCCTCCACGTCACCTACCACATCAGTGGAGAAGGCAGCAACGCTCCATGTAGCGGGAGGGCACGGTGAGGAGCCGTGGACTAGGCCGAGCTTGGTCCCCATGACAACTGACAGCCCAAAAAACAAATAAATTAATGAAAAGGTTCGAAGAAAAAGACATTGCCCAAGCAGGGATCCTTGGCAATGAGCGGCCGCAGGGTTCGAAGCCRTTCTCCCTCCTGGGAAAGCGTAGCCGTGTCCCCTGGGGCAGTCTCCAAGTTTCCGTGGGTAGCACCGTCTCGCCCGCGCCGTTCCGCGAGCCAGCACCGGCCGCGGGGCACTAAGGCCTGGAGAGTCGTTGGATGTTTTGTGCATGGGCCGGCGGCTCCGTGGCTCCGGATCCGGAGCAGGAGAGCGTCAGACCATCGGTTTGGTTTCTCTGGGCCGCTGGCTCCGTCGGGCAATAGAGGGAATGTGCTTTGTGGGTCCCTGAAGGTCTAACAGCCTCCTTCCACTTTGATGTGTAGAATCTTGGAAAAGCCAGGTCTTTTCCTCAGGGCCTGGGAGAGGAGCAGAGAGCGGGGTCAAGAAGGGAGGAACGCACCTGAAATGCCACCAGTTGTTGGCTGATCTACACTGGTGTCCCCACCATTCACATCCCTTGGGGACTCTGCTTCTTCATGGGGCTGGCTCTAGTCCTGCGCCCTTGGAGGCAGCTCATGACTGGACATGTCTGTCCTGAAGACTTTGCCCGGAACAAGGACATGCCAAGTGTCACAAGCCATGCAAGATCTGCCCTTATTTGAGGCCAGCATTAAGTATCTAGAGTCAACCTTACTTTGGCTTTCATGGGTGAATTTTAAATCACTTTATAAARTATACTTTATGAGGTATATTACTCTGAGAGGGAAGCATTAGCCCCTTTCTATTCATGGGACATGAGAGGAAAAGTCCTGGTGAAAGCAATGGGTGGGAATCACAGCCCATTACATCTTCAGCGCATACGTGTCTGAAGGAGAGCCAGGTTTCAAGATGTCTCTGATAAGTCAAGATGTTCTCTACCGAGTCTGTTTGGCAGATGGTAAAAACTTGTCCCCAGAGGGGACACAATGCCCTGGCACTGGCATCCTTTACCTGGAGTTTGTTCACCATTTCTTCAAACATCTTCTTGGCTTCTGGGCTGTGGGGCTCCTTGAAGTAGTCCACAATGCCCACCTGCACGACGATGGACTTCAGGTTGCGGCACACACCTGGGAGCAGAGACACCTCCTGGCTTTGTCATAGCTGGGGGAGGAACAGCTTCCCCACAGCCAGGAYGAACAGTGGAGCCGAGGGCACACGATCCTAAAACCCACCCAGGGCTCCTCAAGGCCTTAGATATTTGTGGAAACCTCACCCTAAAGAAGGGGGAGATCTGCCCTTCGTAGGAGGRTGGTGGTCTCTGCTTGCCTTATCCCATTCAGATGTCCTTCCCTGAGAACCTCTACAGTTCCACCCAGAATACATGGTTCCCAGCAAGTCTGATCATGGTTGCATGTGCCACCATCACCAGGAACAGCACCTCAAACAGACCCTGCGTTGACTGTAGACTCTTCCTATGAGGAGCTCCTGCTCTGGCAAATGCCTTCAGCAAATTTGAAATGTAAGCAACTCAGAACTCATGTGTACCAAAGTGGGTCTGGGATATGCCACCATGGTGTATCTTTGGGAAAAATTTAGAGGCGTATGTCCATCATCTCCATGTCCCAAGGCAAGGCCAGCTCTTCTTAACCCATCCCTGGCAAGGTTGTGTTGAAGCTGCTCTTAGAAAAGTCCTGCTATGGAGATTCCAGCACCTCCCAACCTCCGATTAGCTCCCAGTGTCAGCAATGGGTTCTCTTGGGATTGGAAGGCAGGGTTTGGCTCAGGGATATGGACCTTTTGATCACCTTCCCCTCTGACATGGGATTCTCCACATGGGAGATGTCTCCACTTTCATGGATCCTGTGTCATCCCCAGGCATCGCTACTCACTGTTGAAGTGCAGCAGGGCTTTGGGGGTGACTGGTGTGGAAGTCAGGACGAGCATCTCCAGCCCCTTCAGTCCCTCTCTGCACATTTCTGCTGCAACCTCCTGGTTGATCTCTGCCACGTGGTCCAGCTCCAGGACCTGCAGCCTCATGCAGTTTCGGGCTGGAGAGACAGGGCATGTGCCATTGGAGGTGACAACACTCATTCGTGTCACCGCATGGGGAGGGGATGGGGAGAGATGATGAGATCAGGGTGATGGGAGAGCTGGGGGGCAACACGTGGAGGAGCAAGGTCTCTACCATGGTCTTRGGGCTTGTCCTTGGAGGTCCCCATGGGATCCGCCAGGGATCTGCAAGGTCCCATTCTGCGCGCCCCGTCAGAGGAGAGCTTCTGGCTTCACCTACCTAAGGATGCGAGTCCCTGGACACCACAGCCTGCGCCTCCGACGCCCAGCGCCCGCAGGTGCGGCCAGCACCGGCCGATCATCTGCAGGCAGCGGTTGCTGAAACGCGTTGGCTGCTGGCTGGGGAGAGAAGGGAGAAAAAGMCGGGGAGACCTGGAAGATGCCTCCTGCCTTGGATATCTACAATACATGTGGCTGTCCAGGATCGGAGCTGCTCTGYGCTCAAGAGCAGGGCCCGTTTCTCCACGTGCCTCCACTCATTGGCAGACAACCGGAGCACACATTTGTTCTAAGGCCCCCAAACCACCAGGTTGGCTGTCTGGTCCACCCGGGGGTGAGCACACAGCACACAGCACAGGCAGGAGCTCGCAGCTGGAGGGACACAGCACGCACTGCCTGGCATTTCACCCGGGGAAGGGAACAAGCTGCCACCCATTTCTCCTGCTGAATAATAGTCCTCCTGTACCCCTGGATCCATCAATGTCACCTCATGGCCACGGATCTGCGGGCTGAAGGAGGACGTGACATCGCAATAAAACTTCCAGGACAAAAAGAAACACCCAGAACAACTTCATGGCATGAAGGCAAGGACATGAGGGACCTTCTCTGATTTCTCAGACACCCTCTGGATGATGTTGCCTAAGCCATGAATTCGTTAGCGCTCAGAGATGCTGCAGAGTGGGGAACCTCCATCGTCTTCACGCCCAAAATTCCATTTCAAAGTGAGGGAAACCGCAGTCATTTCTTAAACAGGAACTCAACACCCTTCTAAATACACCCAGCCCTTCAGGCTGCCGTTACATAAGCAGTGAAGAGCCCAGAGAAAGTGTCTGATGTTCAGACTCGCTTAGCAGAGTGATCACAGCTCCCCTTTCATCTCCGTTGTTAGCAGCGTCCCCAGAAACGTTCCCAGCTTGGCAGGAACGTGGCTACATTCAACAGCTCTCAGCTCTTGCAGCGAGGGATGGGGCTGAGCGCCCAATCCCCCTTTCCCCCAAGGAATGGGAAGGAATCCCCAAGGACTCCTCCAGGATCGCTGCTCAACTCACGAGGCCCCACTAGGAAATCTGGATTTGGCACCTGGGGTCTTTCCAGGCCAGTGATACCCCCAGGCTTGGCCTGGTCCCCTCCTAGCCCAGCASCTACTGAGCATGACTCTTACCAGGGATGTAGAGGTGCAACCTGGAGAGAAATGATGTCTCTGCAACCTGCTCCAAGGGCCCAGATGACTTCATGACCCACAGGGTCTGTAGAGCTCCTGGAACGACACAGAAGGTACGTGGTAGTCCCTGACAGCTTCATGCTGGGCCAAGGGGCTGTGTCTGCAGCTTCCAGGCCACTCTCCACAAGTGCACCTGCAAACCTCTTGATGACAAATCTCTTGATGCAAACCTCCTGATGACAAATCTAGTCATTATTTTCAACCCGTGATCTGCTCGTGAACCAGACAGTCCCAGCATCAGTGCACGCAGGAGGAAGGCTAAAGGCTCTGCCACCTGGAATTGTGCCTGCAGGTGTGTCAAGAAAAATGGGAGAGATTGGTGTGGAAGGTGAGGTGGATGATGAGGTTGAAGATGAAGGCATGGCAGCGTCGTCCAGATTCAGAGATGGCACATGAGCCACGCAGTGCTCAGGATGGGTCTGGATCATGGAATCATAGATTCATTATGGTTGGAAAAGAACTTTGAGATCAAGTCCAGCCGTAAGCCCCTCAAAGTTATGCCGGTTAAACCACGTCCCTAAGTGCCTCATCTACACGTTTCTTGAAAATTGCCTGGGATGGTGACTCTGCCACTTCCCTAGGTAGCCTGCTCCAATGCTCCACCACTCTTTCTGGGTAAAATATTTTCCTACTATCCTTTAGGAAAAGAACGACTGCAAGTGATTCCTGTGTTCCCCTGCAAAATGAACATATCCTCCCCAYGAGGCCCACTAGGTTGGTGTCTCTTGCTCCCTGCCTGGCCTGGGAAGGTCTAGGGAGCTGGAAATGACGTTCCAGCTGAGGGGTGGCAGTGTCTACCCAAGGGTGGTGTCTTCTCCAGACCCTCTGCACCAGCCTTGAGGTTGGGCAACTTCATCCCCAGGCAGCTGTTGGCCAGRCATCCCTGCAAGGCTTTTCTGTGGGCTCCTCCTGGAGCGAGAGGCGCTTTTTGGAGGCATCTGAATAGCTGCTCCCCAGGGATGCCAAGGGACTGGTGCAACATCCTGGTGGGAACCAAGGCTTATTGTGAGGCACCCAGCTGACCATGGGCAGCCAGGCTGCCTCCTCATCTGGTTGTGTCACCAGCTCCAAGCAGCTCTCCCTGAGGCTGTTGGCTCTCTCCACCAAGAGTTACTTGGTTAAGGGAGATGTCAAATTACAACGTCTTCCTGATGCTACCAGCCCAGAGGGAGCTGCTGCTGGAGGCCCCCGGCCTCTCTGCCACATTGAGCTCCCTCCTGAAGATGGAGGACACGCTCACCAACTCCGAACGACCTAGTTCAGAGCTCCAGGCAGGCCTAAAAATAAGTGACGGGTGTTACTGTGAGCGTTTCACACATTTCCATGGAAGACGCCTGCCAAGAGCCCCTTGCGTTCATTGGAGCATGTGAGTCACAGTCACAGGTTAGCGAGGCGCTGGGAGCATCCRGGCTTGCTCAGCCCTTGGAAGGGCACACGGACAAGTCACCGGGTCAGCCTCCATGGTTCAGGGCTGCCTTGTGGCATGGGGGTCCCCATGGTGGCACAACCACAAGACCACAAGACCTTGATGTATGCTTGGAGTGAGGCCTTCTCCAGCCTTGCACTTCCCCACCCGAAAGGCTATCCTTGGACCAGACAAGGTCCTATTGCTTTGGACCAGACAAAGTCCTATTGCTTTGGACCAGACAAGGAGAAATCCAGGTGATGCAGGCTGCTCGCTCTGGGGTTTGCCTTGGCACAGGTGGGATACTGAGCCTGAATGCCACAGCTGTCCCACCAGGCAGCCCTGGCTTGGGAAATTGCTCCTTTAGCAGGGGGAAACTCAGCAAGGTGTGTGTGACGGACACGTTGGTGGCCCCAGTTTTTCCCTCGCTCTGGCTCCCTSCTGCCCTGTGGCCACCGGGAGCGGTGCCCGGCGCCGCGGCGCAGGACGGCTCCTCGCTTACCGGTAGGTGACGGCCTGCAGGGCCCGGCAGTAGCAGCTGGCCAGCCAGAGCGAGCGGTCGGTCAGCACGTTGGGGCAGTGGGAGATGCGGAGGATCAGCAGGTTGCTGCCCGTGGCCTTCAGCAGCGACTCCAGCCCGGCCTCGAGGCAGCCCCTGCCGAGGACGGAGGCAGATTTGGGCTCGTCCTCGGGGGACACAGGAAAAACAACCAAAAACCCACGGTTCCTTGGAGAGATCCCCATTGTTGTGGCTTTAGTCTGGCTGCAAGGGGCCTCTCTGCCGCCTTGTTGGCCCAGGAGCCCCTCAGCTACGTGGGGACAGGTCCCCTAYAGGAAAAGGGACCGTCTCAAATCACCGTGTGCCACTGTGGACTCCCTGCACTGGAGCTGGTGTGCGTGCACGTGTGGGCACCCAGGAAGGCTGTGTTTCCACCTGTGGGGTGCCCTGTCCCACCCGTGGGACGTGGTGCTGTGGCATCAACCCATGGCYGGTAGGAGCGGGTGCTGAAGCTGGCGGGTGCCCAGGACTCACCGAGTGCTCTTCATGTAATCCTCCTTGCTCTCCTTCTTCCCGCGCTGGCGCGGCTTGAGGTTTTGGAGGGTGAGGGAGTGTGTCTGGGTGCACCACTGCGACAGCATGGTCAGGAACTGGGGGGACGGASGGTGCCCGTTGGCCGGGGACACCCTCGCGGTGTCCCGCGCCGCCCTTCCTCGTCAATCTTGCCTTGTACACCCTCCACCCTGGACCTCCTTGGCATGCAGGGTTGCAGAGGGACGCGGCACGCGTGGAGCCCCACGGCCACAAGCGGGAGCGCACGTGCACGCGACAGGCACTGCGTGGAAACGCGTGCACGAGCGAGCAGGCGTGCAGGAGGCTGCAAAACCTCCCATGCAAAACTCCCATTGCTTTTCACATGCCCAATGCACTCGTGACCATGCCCGTGTGCAACACGTGCGCGCATCCTGCTTTGTCCCCCTGGAAGGACAAGAGCATCGCATCCCTCCACGGATGGGGATGCGGGGACTGTCCCTGYGCCGTTACCTTTGAGGACACCCTGGCGTTCTCCAGCAGCACCCGCGTCCACACGGCCGGGTGCCGGGCCACGAACTTCCAGTCCTTGCACACCTCGGCCACCCGCAGCAGCGTCTTGGTGTCCAGGTAGGTGAAGATGCAGAAGAGCGCCGCCCGCATCTTGAGGACCTCGGGGCTGATCACCTCGCTGGAGGGGCCCGGGCTGCCCTTCTCCAGCCGGCCCGCCTTGCCCACCGCCCCCTCGGACCTGGCTGTGTGACACGTGCCCTCAGCCCCCAAGCCGATCCCGGACCAGCTTTCCCGAGGGATGTATGGGGCTCCAGGCTGGGGAGCTCCCGGCCGAGAYGAGGAAGGGGATAAGGGGAGCTCCAAGGAATGGCCCCATCCCATCCCCACGCCTGTTGCCTTCCCACCCCAAGCCCCAGGGCGAGCAGAAAACCTCGGTGCGGGCACAAACCCACCCTTGGACCCCAGTTAGAGCAGGAAACACCAAGGAAAAGCGCAGGGATCCCCCGTGCGCCACGGGCTCTCACCCGTCAGCCTGCAGCTGCTCACGGGCCGGGAGGCTCCGGGCGCCTCGGCCTCCCATCCCTCGGCCTCCGACTCGGTGGTGCGGGAGCCCACGTCGGAGATGTCGCCCTCCTCGCCCTCGGTGCTGTTGCGGTAGGGCCGGCGCTGCCAGTTCTGGATGGCCTGCCGGCGCAGCCCGGAGCCGCGCGCGCCGTCGCGCTCGGCGCCCCGCGGCGCCCCGCCGCCGTAGCGGGGCCCGTCGCCGTCGCCGTCCGTGGGACACGGCTCCGCGCTGTCGCTGTCGTAGCAGCCTGAGCTCTGCGACACGGCCTTGGCGCGGCTCGAGGCCCTGCGGGGGGACGGCAGGGGCGGCCTCAGTGCTGCCCACGCGGCTGAGAGCGCGCGGAGTTGGCGCATGCAAGGGGCACGTGTGCCCCCGGGAGAGCCTCGTGCTCCTGGATGTCCCCCTCATTAAAATGCTCCAATTAACCTGCAGGCAAGGAAGGGGACACTCACCCCGTGCTGGAAGAGGAGCGCTGGTTGCAAATGCCATATGGGCCGTGTATGGCCACCGCCGGCCCCGGGTGCCTGTCTCTCTGGAGGGAGGAGATGAGGAAACACGGTGGTGAGAACGAGGGGGATGAATCCAACGGCTACCGTCATCACCAGCATTGTGGTGGAATGATGCTCCTGGGATGGACAACAGCACCCAGCRCATCCGTGCCCTCACCCCCCTCACCTCTGGATGGGGCAAGCAGTGAGATGCCCAAAACACGTCTCCCCTTTTGGGAAATCTCCCCCCAAGGGATTTTCCCAGCCTCGTTTTCCATGAATTTGGTGGAGCCCCATCCACATGGGAGCACAACACGTTACATCCCTCATGAACCCGACCGCGCTGGAGCGCGAATCCAAGGACAACTAGCGATGCCATCGCATGCACCGCTCCCGGGAGGAGCGCGGGCAGCCCCTGCACCTCCCCACGGAGGGACGCGCGCCCCGGCCCCGGGTCGGGCAGCGGAGGTACCGGCCGGCCGATGCCCTTGGCGCCGGGCGCGCTGCAGCGGCCCAGGCTGCCGTTGGGGGTGGTGCCGCAGCTGCTGCTGATGATCTGGAGCTGCTTCTCGGCGCGGTCGGCGCGGTCCAGCAGCTCCTCGATGAAGTGCTGCAGCCGCACCTTGGCGTTGGCCTCGCGCGCCGCCGTCTCCTTCAGGAACTGGTCGATCTGCAGCACCTCCCTGCGCAGAGGCACCGGCCGCAGCCGTGGGGCTGGGCTCTCCCGTCCTCCCCGCGATTCCCTGGTCCTCCCGGGTCCCACGCATCCTTGTCTCYCTCCCTCCCAACCAAAGCCTGCCCTGCAGCTATCCCCAGGGAATTTGGTCCATCCTCCTTTTGATTTAGGCTGCAAGGGACTCGGATCCTTCCCCACAGTGCCAATCCTCATCCTAGGTCTCCCCCATCCAGAGTGGTCCAACTTGGTCCATGCCAACTTGGATGGTTTCTGGACACAGATTGGGGCAGAGCAGMGGCCAGGGATTGTTCCTGGAATTTACTATGGATGCAGCCACTTTGTTTCAGGGGAAATGAGACCTTTGCTGTATGAATCCCCAGGACCTTTGCTGTATGACCCCTTGTGATGTGTGGCATTGCCTGGGCCACTTGCTGCTGGTGCCTGGTCCACAAGATGAATGGTGAGGATTAATGATGGCAAGGATAGGCAATGGAGAAGAAGGATGATGCAGAAGGACAATGGAGAAAAAAAGGATGATAGAGAGCTGATGGCACGGAAGAAAGATGCCAAGGAAGATGATGGAGAGAGGGAAGACGGCGAGGTAGGATAAAGGCATGGAGGAAAGATGGAGAGGAGGGCTGATGGAGAGGAGGCGTGAGGAGGAGGTGGGTGATGGGGACTAGGGAAGACAGTACAAGGGTGTCAGTGACACTGCCCGCCTCATTCAGGAAGGCCACATCCAGGCAGACCAGCGTTAAGGGCAGATTTAAATGCCTAAATCGCACTCAGCCCCAGCTCTCGTTAGGGAAGTGCCCAGCACTTGCAGAACCCTCTGACGAGACCTCCCTGTCCCGGTGCCCTCAGCACAAGCAGCCAGCTGTGCAGGAACGAGGCCCCATCTCCCTCGTTAAGGTGCTAATTAARGGGAGCAGAGCCAACCTCACAGTTCTGTTCAGCAGCATGAGCTCCTGCAGCCCCRTGAAGACCTTTCATGTGCCCCTGGAAGTGCTCAGCTGGCCACGGCCCGGAGGARCGTAAAGGTGAGGGAGCAGCTCTTTTCAATGTGATTAATCTTAATGATTACTAATTATGCACTATAGCAATGTCTGATTCTATTGAACCCAAGGCCTCCTTCACGCAGACACCCAGCTAAGGAATGTCTCGGAAGAGCTGGGAATGAGGTTTTCGTGGAGACCAACAAGGTYCTCCAGCCAAACCCATGTCCCTAACCCACAGATGTGCGGCAGAGCCAGAGAGGAGAGAAAACAACCAAAACAAAGCCCTGGCARAGAAATGCAAAGCAAGAAGGGAGCGGGTGGGGAAGCGGGGGGCTCTAAGGGTTGTCTCCACTCCAGTAACAGCAAAGCACTCGGAGGCACTCGGAGCTACTAACGCGTGAGTGATGCTGGAGCCGAGCATGCAAATCCAGCCGTGACCTTTCCCGCAGCCGCTCCAAGGAAACGCCAGGGCACCGYGACGCTGGATCCCTGCCAGCTCCCAAGCATTTCCAGGAAAAACGGAGGAGCTCTCTGGTGGCAATCGTTTGGGAAGGCTCCTGGGGAAGAGCCTGGGAGATTTGGAAGGCAAATGGGGTGCTGGCACGCGGGCAGTGCATGGAAAGTGATCCTGATGCTTATCACCTCCTACAGCTCCTCTCATTCCTAGGCACCGGATGGAAAAAATACCCACGGCAAAAACAGTTGCATCTACAAGCAAAAAGGGCTCCCAATATCTATGGGGTACCTCCAAGGCTCAGTGTTGGACCTTGGGAATAAACGACACTGGGTGACTCCGTGCTCTTGGGCGTCATTGCAGGTGTTGGGAGCACGGTGGGCACAATGAATTAGACCCGAGCTAAACCGTTTCAGTATCGTGGCTCGTGAAACCTTCCTCGAAAAATTAATTCAAGCCGGTGGGGATGTGAACACAGTCGCGTGGATGGAGAATTGGCTGGAAGACCGTAAACAGGGAAGGATAATAAATGGCAGCGCAGCAAATGGCAAGGCAAGCGGCAGCGTCTGCTCTTCTCCTACCTTCCTGTGAATGATGGGGAAGAAGAAGCAGACGTCGTGTTGGTGAGAGCTTGGGTGCTGTTGCACAGCGGGGCATCTCCCATGTGGTGACCACAGAGGTCTGCTGAGCTCGGGGCTCTCTGGACCCACAGGAGGGGCTGGAAACGGGTGGCCACAATGGGCAGAGATGGGCCCAGGGACCATCTCATAAAGCATCACCATCAGAGGAGACCTTGGGCAGGGAAGGGAGGCAGGGGTGGCAAGTTGGGTGCTCATCTCCATCTGCTTCCCAGCCTTCCCAAGGAAGCAGGGCTGGAAAATGTCCCTGATCATCTCGCTTTGTTCTTGGGGGAAGGGTGAACACAGCTTCTCCGATGAGAACGATTCACGGTGATTTCCCCACGGCCAAGGGGAATCGTCTTGTTTCATGAGCTTCTTTCCATGTCTTGCTCTGGCAGACGCCRAGCGATTTAATTCCTAGCAACCCCCCATCCAAAGTGTTTCAGATCAGAAAAAAATTTCTGATATTTTCGGGTTTGCTGTGAAACCTTTGAGGAGGCTGTGTCTGATTTTGGTGCTTTATTTGCTTTTTCTCTGATTTTTTTTTTTTCTTTCATAGCTGCTTCTTGCCCARTATGCGCAGCGTGTCTCACGTCTGCCTGGCAGCCCATCATTGCAGAGGGGCTCTCACCATGCCCCTGGTCCTCCTGGACCCTCTCTGGCCTCAACTAAAGGAGAYTGGAGACCCATGTGAATGGTTCAGGGCCTGGAGGGTTTCTCTAAGGAGAGGTGGATCCAGGAGGCAGTTTTGGGACATAAATCCAGGTCACTTTAGGCTGCAGTGGTCTGGCCCTGGACCTCCCATGGACTAATCAAGCAGTATTTGACCCATCCATCACCYTCTACCAGTCCTGATGGGTCTGTTTCACACCCCGGTTGCTCTGGTGCTCCCGACCTTTTTAATCTCCAGCCTGTGTGTTATTCATGGCCAACTTGTCACTGCTCCTCCTGGTGCCAGTGCTGCCCTTTAGCTGATATTGTCTGTCCCTGTCTTCAACATCTCTACAGGCTTCGGTTGCCTCCACATGTTGGCCTGGCTCCACCAGCCAATATCTTCCCGTATTCCGGTCCCATTGACTTCCACCCCAGCAGATCCCTGGTCCTGGCATGACCTCAAAGCGAGCCCAGTGTAGATGATCACGGACAGAGGTGCCACCGCCTCTCTGGGCCCCAGTGCTGCATTTGGCCATCCTTTGTCCTACCACCAAGCRCCTCTGAGACGCTGCCTGCTCTGATGTGCCCGTAATACAGCTGACAGCAACACTGAAATCTCCCCTTTGCTTCCCTCTGCATCATGGTCCTACTTCTCTTCTTCTGCACTTTCTGAACCAAATCTTATTCCCCTTATGCCAATTTGAACAATCATCCCACTCTTTTTGCCTAAGGACCACAGCCTTTGAGTTGTCAGCAGATATCATGAAAATGTACCTTGTTTCCAAGACCAAGTCATTAGTTTTTGAGCCAAAATCCTTCACACATTTGCAGAAGATGCTAGGGATCAAGATTAACCCTTGAGGAAGCCCGTCAGTGCTCTTGGCCTGGTACCACCATTACAGTCCGCCTTTAACCTGCTCCCCAGACTTTATGATGCCCCCTGTGATGACCTTCAGCTTTGCTCAGAAACAAGGTCTGGCTTACTTACACAGCACTAATGGGTAAAATAACCCAGCCTTTGACTGGGAGGGAACTCTGGGTCAGCGTTAGGATGGGTAGAGAGGGTTTGGTTGGAGATGATGGGATGAAAAAGAAGGTGGCTATGACACAGTCCTAACAGCTAATGGAGGTTGTAGTGCATGGGATACATCACCCCTCTTCTGGGAATTAAGTAGGGCCAAAGTGGCCCCTCTCATGGTTATGACCATGGTTGATGGGATTGCTCTTGTTGACTACAGCCAGGCCCCTCAGCTGTGCAGCCAAGGGGGATGATGCAGCTCTCGTTTTGGGGGACATCCTTTGCTGCTAGAGACAGGTGGGAGCAACGTGGCCATTGTGGCCTTCCCTGGAAGGGCAGTGGGAGAGTGAGGGGCTTCCCCAGTTTGGCCATGCCCTGAGGGCACTGGTGGCTGTGGGACAAAGACATGGACCCATATGGTCACAGATATGGAGAAGGCCCAGGTCTACGTGGACACCTGCCCGTGAGGTTTCATGTAGGAGAGAACATGCAAAAACATCTCAGTATAGTAAAATCCAACCTGCTGATCCTAAGGGATTGCACCCTAGCACCTCGTCTAAGGGTTTGCTGACCAAACCAGGTTCATTATGAGCATGCAAGGCCCTMAGAGGACGATTTCCACCCTTCCTGCCCCAAGAAGAGAGGGGAACGGACTCACTGCTGCTTGCGCGTCAGCTCCTGCTCCTTCTGCACCAGGTCCTGCTTGAGGGAGGCCAGCATCTCCACGCTGACATCCACCTGGCGGGACAGCTCGGACGCCCGGTCCTCCAGCTCCTGCTTCTCCCGGCTGAGCCGCAGGCTCTCCTGCTTGGCCTTCTCCAGCTCCGAGCTCTTCCTGTCCAGCTCCACCTGGAGCCGGCCAACCTGCGAGGCGATCTTCTGCTCCACCTCCTCGGTGAGCTTCTCCAGGCGCTTGTCCACCTCCAGCTTCTCGAAGGCGCGGATCTTGAGGCGGGCCAGGCCTTCCTCGTAGGCCGCGTCCATAGCGGCCGGCGGCGTGGGCGCCGGCGCCACGGCTTTGCCGCGCGTGAAGATCTCCGTCAGCGGGATCTCGATCTCGTGCACATAGCGGGGCGAGGGCGAGGAGGACGGGGCCGGCTCCAGCTCCTCGGCGGGCACGAGGTCGCAGGAGAAGCGCTGCTCCTTGCCCTGGAAGGAGGTGCTCTCGAAGTAGTCCCGCCGGGCGGCCGGCGTCAGCAGCGCCGCGTCGGCGGCCAAGGGGAAGACGGCGGCATCGCAGATGCTGTTGGTCTTGGAGAGCACGTAGAGGGTCTCGTAGGTGTGGTTGTACTCCAGGTGCGCCCGCAGCGAGGAGAGGCTGCGGAAGCGCTTGTGCTCGCCGCACCGCGGGCACCGGTAGGGCAGGTCCAGCGAGGCCATCCCTCAGGCGCGCGCCGCGGCGGAGGGCACCCGCGGGCGCCCGCTCATGGCGCGGGACGGGCGGCGCAGGGCCCGCGGGACACGCGGCCGCGGCTCCGCAGGGACATGGCGAGAGCCCCGCGACGGGAGCGGGGTGTCCGGAGAGACCTGCTCAGCATCGGGCAGGGCCGGGGGCTGGGAAAGAGAGGGGGTCAGTGAGCGAAGGACGGCAGCGCCCCAAAATCCCTTCCCGGTCCCCTGTCTGCCTCCATCCTGCCCTGCCACGGCTAGGCCCAAGGGGAAGGAGCAAAGCCGGGTTTTATGTGGAATTAGCCCTTCCTGCTCTGGGTCTCCGGCTCCTGGAGGTTGATGGGTGGCAGAGGGGAGATGGGGAGCGCTCCAAGCCCACGATGCTCTCGCGTGGGATGCTCTGGGGGAAACCACTGGTTTTCCAATGCTGGAGCAATGGGTGGTCCCTGTTGGACCTTCATTCCCCCTTGTTTTGGGAAATCTCCCCCTGCAAAGAATCCCTGTGTGGTTAAACCCAGGACACCCCAGGATGTCAAGTGTCCCTAAATCCCCCCCAAACCCTGCATTTGTGCTCGAGATGGAGCTCGGAAGAGACACCCCAGCCCTGAGGTCTGAGAAAGAGCTTCAATGTAGGAAAAAAAGCAGTAAAATAAATCCATGCTGGGGGGTTAATGGGGCTGCCTGGTCACTCCTGGACCCRTCTGCTCGCTTGGTTTTGCGTTCGGCGGGTGTCACAAAATGCCTCCCCGCACGTGAAGGCGCGCGGCCGAAGCGGAGCCCGCACAAAGCACCGCCCGCAAGTTCATTCTCCGCGGCGCGGGCGGGATGATGAAGCGCTTTTGGGCCG